TTCGATAAGTACTCTCTTCAATAGGATTTCTTGTTTATTTGTTGCTCTGAACAGGTGTTATAGTTTAAGAATTATAATTATATTAGAATTATAATATAGAACAAAATATTTGTGTTTAATATTCTTATGATTTTTAACTAATGAGTTCTCAATAGTTTTAACGTTAGTTTACATTTTTAGTTTAATTTATGCGCATTTTAATTTTTCAATTTAATATACGATAACAATTCATTTTAATTTATGATACTCAAATTATACCAGTTGGCATAAGTAAGTGTGGTGTTAGCTCCCTCATAAGATTTTAAAATTAATTTTTTTTCAGCTGTATTCTTTAAAACCTCTAAACGCTATTGTTGATTTGAATAAAAATTAATAATTTTAGAAAAGGTTTAGTAATTTTACCAAATTATTCCTTGCTTATCTATCCTATGCTATTTATAAAACCATATTTTTTTTCATTATTTTATTATAATTTAATGATTTTAATGTTAATTTCCTTTAATTTTAGTTATTTCGTTTAATTTACGTGCAATATGATTTTTCTTCATTATAGTGATTTTCATCAACATTTTATAGAAAATTTCGAGGAATCTTCAGTTTTTATACCATTAAAAGTTTTCATTATCGTTTCAAGTTATTTTTTTATCAATACAGTCTTAATTTATTTATTTACATTTAAACTACTATTTTATTAAAAATATATTTGTGAATATTAGGATTATATTTGAATTTGTATTATTTTTCAATCACAACCATGCGTGAAAATTAAATTTTTGCATAAGTCTTATAAGAATAATTTCGCAATTTGTAAATATCAGGGAAATCTGTCAATAACCAATAATAAAGTTTATATAATCAATGTTCTCACAAAATGTATTATAATTTATTAAAAATGCTCATGGAAATCGAGAAAAAAAAAAGCATTTATATCATTTATTGAAATCGGGAGCCTTTTCTCTTTACAGGAAGGGTTTATAAAATGAGAAATTTTGAAGGAGCCTTTTTAACTTTAAAATCATGAAACATCAAAACTTAGACTTTAAATAGTTTCGCGGTATTTACATCACAGTATATGTCATATGCCATAAAAGATTTTATTAATTGAAAATTAACTTGTTAAGAAACAAAAAAATTACTCTTAAACTTTAAAAATGTTTATTTTCTCTGTGCAAAATGTTTTCTATGAATTAGGATTCTTGACACTCAAAATGAGTAGCAATACCCCAATAGTTCAGCAAGGAGGCGATTTTAACCCTTTATATCTCAACATCTCGGATTTTAATAAAAATTACTCATACATTAGAATACATCATTCTAAGCATGTAAAAAATAATAAAAAAATTTACAACATAAAATAAGAAAAATTATAGGAAAAAAATTTATTATTGCATTTCTGCACTCTTATGCAAAATGACAAAAAGTGCTTGTTGCATTCCTGCAACATTGTGAAAAATGGCACTAAGATTGAAAGATTCAAAAATTTTAATTCATATGAAAATTTTTAAAACAGTTGTTACTTTTGTTGTAACAAAGTCCTACACCACATTCCTCACAAATAGTTTGTGTTAATTCTTTGTATTTTGGGTATTTGCATCTGATTCTTTTGTTAGCCCAATTAGGTCAGTGCCCAATTTCATCTTGGCCCACTGGTTTTGGCTGACAATCGCCGAAATCGTCCTTCAAAATTTGTTGGGGCAAAGACATAGGCTTTTTGTGTATGTTGCAGATATGCAACACGGTGATATAAAGGGTTAATATAACTTCAGGAAATGCCTTCTAAACAAATGAAATGAATTTAAAAAAATTTACCTTCTCCCAATATGAGGTGCAATCAAAATCCAGAACTTACTGAGGGGAGGGTGTAACTTACACTTTGCTATCTATAAAAAAGCCATATTGTTCCGAAATAATATTTTGCGTTTAATCGAATAAAATATCATCCACGTCGATGCAACTAATAGATCAGAAGCTGTAAAAGTTTTTGTGGTTAAATACATTACTGTGCAGACGAAAATAGTTTTCGACTCTGTGAATTTTTTATATTTAATTTAATCAGATAAAACGAATTCAAATGAAATCAAGATCAGTATATTATTTACTGCTTCAGGAATATTTAATACCTTATTTTGAACATATTCCCCTTTCGATACAACGAATTGCTGAAACCGAGTAAGATTTTATCCTGTAAGACGCATAATTTGGAAGTAATTTTATTTTAAACTGCATAAATTTTGATTTGTACCCATTTATATATTTGACACAGCTGTATAAGCACTTTTGATGTTGCTATATAATTACCAAAAGTATTTGTACCATACATTTTTAGTTACCTAGAAAGAAATGTAGAATCGGAAATGGGTGTAAGTCAAAACCTTTTTGTAAATTAAATCATTTCAACACTTAAAACTTCTAAATTATTAATTCTACCAATTTGGCTGCTATTTCTGTTTATTTAGAGAAAAAAAAATACGTATAATCATATATATTGATTCACTTATTTAGCGGGGACAAACAGCTCAATATGCATATGTACAAAACAGTACTTTTTTTGATTCGGAGAAACAGTAATAATGAAAAAAGAATCAAGAGAATGTGTATCTCTCCCATTATATAAAAGAAATATAAAAGGTACATATAATAAACGTAACTAATTTTTATTTTCTATTTTGCTATTAACTCTGCTCAGAGGTGACTTGGGTAAGTCTTAGTTTAAGAAAATAAGAGTCATATTAGATGCATTAGAAAACATAAGAAGCGGTGACTGGATGAAATGTGTAAGATGTATGCTATGACTCCAGGAAAAATGTATAAGTTTTAAAACCCTTTGCACAAAATATGATTTATTTTTTTTAAGTAATTGATTAAATCTGCTCATTAAATTTTATTTGCTAGATTTATATTTACTTATTTTCAAAATAAAATTCCTTCCTTACAGCCAATTTTAAGTTTTTCATATAAACTGTATGAAATGTGTCATTTTCTGTAAATTAAATTCGTTTTTTCCATCGCTGTATTAGACGACCATCTCTCCTCGACATTAAGAGATGACAACTTTTTGTTTGCTCTGAAAAAAAAATTTTTTTTGATATTTTGTTCTCAATATATTATTCTTTCTTGCTCAATATATGTTGAATAAATGTATGAGAATTTAAAATAAGCATAAACATTTCTTCTATCTCTATTCTTAATATTTTTATTTTGGTTTGAACTATATCCAAGACCCCCCCTATAAAAAGCACTGACTTATAATTGCATTATTTAGCGTTTGAATGAAAGTATATGCCAAACGCGGCGAACTAAAAGGAGAATTGGACCTGCTTATTGTTTAAGTAACATATGGGAAATATCGCTTAATAGTTAAAGTTGAGAAAACAAGCAGAAAATGAAAGGGTACTAATTATCAAGTAATTATGCAATTTACAGATCTAACTTAAATAAGAGTAATTACTTGTATTTTACTTAGGTTGGATACTAGTTGCTTTGGTTCCTCATTGACGCATAATTCTTAAAGAGTCTTCTTCCCCTGTCGTAAAAAATATAGTTTCCTTTTTTGAATGAATGAACATCCCTCTCCCGGTTTGTATGATGAATGTCATACCATGAATAATTAGGAAATAAGTTTTAAAATACAGGGGGGGGAATAAGGTTCTTTTTAATTTTAATTGAATAAAAATAAAATTTCATCTGATTGTATACAATTTTTTGTTACTTAAATTGACTTCTTTTAAATGGATGTAGAGGTCGTTATAACTGAAAATTTCACAAGTTTTTATTCTTGATAAAATACATTAAGAAAATCATACAAATTTATTAACTTTTTTGTGCTTGACTAATTTTTCAGGAAGCAAGTTTAAGAATAGTGTGTTTTTTCATTTAATTTTTTGTATAACCCATTTTGTTATAAGGTAATCTGTAAATCGCAAATAGAATTTCTTAAATTTGTTGATTTTTCTGTGAGTTATTATCCCATGAATTTCTTGTGAATTTCTCTTCACAGCTGTGTGAAACATCTAACCTTTTTAGAGTTTGCATGCTTGTTGAACTTCAAAATGTATCAGAAGTGCTGAACACTTAATGCAGCATTCAAAATTTACAAGCAACACATTTTATAAACATTTATAGTCGGTTTTGTGTTAAATTTAATTAAACTGTTTAGATTTTTTTTAGCAATATTAATATTTTAAAACTCACTTCCATTATACTTTATAAAAAATTATGATATTAATATATTAATTGCTGCGTTTTATTAATTTATAAAAAAGAATTAAAAAACATAAAAACTCAAATCATGGAATTTCTTTCTTTTTCTTTGAATTAACATTTAAAAAAATTGCAATTCTAACTTCTACTACTCAAATTTCCTACAGTAGAGTTAGATGTGAATTGGGGATAAAGAATAGTTATATTTTTAAAACAAGTAACTCAGAAAGACTCGGATTATAATGAAACTAAGATTTCCTTCATTGTTAAATAACAACAAAGCATAATATCAACTCATGGAATGATTTTCCGATTAAAATGCAACATTAAAAAATTCTCCCATTTTAATTAATATAAAATTTTTAGAAAAAATAAACACCAACTTCAACTTACGAATTTTTTTAGGAATAATATACAACATTAAATAATTCTCAGATTTAAACCTGTAACACTGTTGGTTATGGGACATTTTTAAGTTTGATGAGTTCTAAAATAATTAACAAACTTCTATGTAAGGTTGGGAAATTTATTATTATTGCAGTTTGGAATTAACATAATATGTATACTTTAAGCAAAAATTCTTTTAGACTGCATAATCTGTATGTTTAAATGTGGCAAGAATGTTAATCTCGCGCTAGAAAAGATTAGCTAATAAACTTTTTTTTTCGGTAAATGAATAAATACTACAGTGTCAAATCTTGCAAATTAAAAAAAAAATGTAAATAAAGCAATAAATCAGAAACAAAATGAATTTTTGAATAACTACAGTACAAAAAAATAGAATTAATAAATTTATTGAAATTTTGAAAAGAAACATAACGTACTATACAAATCTGCTTTTATATATTCTTCAACCTAATTCATACAACATTACTCAAATAACATTTCCCTCATTCATTGCAGAAACCGCGAACTCTTGCTTCCATCGTGTGCAAAGATGGATACGGGATTTGAATGGTGAATTAAAATCGCGTTCGTTAAAATACCTATTTTACCCCTCAATTTTCTGCGTCTATGATACATCTTTTTTTGCACCAACATCTTTAGGTTTTACCCATTTGTATGGATTAGGTTTTTGTTTTTCTAATTTCTCGAGCAGCAATCGGAAATTGTTGGGTTGCTCGTTTTCCTTGTTCTCGAAGAGCTCCAGTTTCCTTGGACCAATGTGTCGGTAGATGCACTTCGGATTTCTGCATGCGGCATTATACTTACAGGTTGGATGCTGGAAGTGGCACTTTTGACCCATGCGGCACTTCGGAAAAAATCGGCACTTGGGAGTTTGCTGAATTTTCTCTTTTTCAGGATTACCTTTCATACTCTTGCTGTTTTTAGTAGCAATATCTTCAACTGCCTTTCTCTTTGTCTGCTGCACGGGTCTAACAGGTGCTGAGATTCTGAAGAAAAAAATATAGACAATTAAATCATAACACTTCATAAAAAGTAATGCATCAACAATGGTATCATTAAATTACGCTGCAAAAAAATCTGAAACTAATTACGGTAAAGAGTACTGGAAATCAGTTTGACTGCGCGTTTCACTGTAAAAAAAATTTCGGGACAAAAGTTATATACTGGAAATTTTGTAATAATATATACTGTAAAATCGCTAATTCACCTTAATTAAATAAATGATTCCATAAAATTAATGTGGTTACATAAACTAATATATAACATTTTATAAGGGCGAAATAGTCTGCTGGCTTGGTAGGGCGTTTCCGAGTAGAAATGAGCTCTACCCCAAAATACGACTTTTTTTCATTTTCTCGAAAAAACAGGTGCTTGTTTTTTCACCAGATAAGTACTATTATTTCAAAAAATTCTGCAAAATGCCTGCATTGTGGTCAGTGCATGCCGAGAGCACCATTCGTACGACCATTCTCCGCGACGCTGAGATTCGAACCTGGGACATCTCAAAGAGTACTCTATGCTACCGGAGCTCTAATCGTCTCAGTATGAAGAAAATCTTAAACTTTTTTCATCTTAAAAAAGTTATTGAAATAATATATAAGTGTAAAAAAGTTTAAACTATAGAGGCCTACCAGAATGAAAATGTATGGTAAACAAATGTGCCAAAAAATTATATATTAAAAAAATACATTGTTAAAGTATCGATTTAAAAATAAAATTGGATCGCAGTTTTATTTATACGATGTTATTATTATTAAATATTTCCTGAAAAATAAGAGCAAGTATTTTTCGATACTTCTCTGCTACTTTCTATACTTAATCGTAAAATGATATGAAAGAGAAAGAGTGATTATACGGTAAGGAAAACTGAAAACTGCTTTGCAAATATACAGAGAAAGTCTGCAATAATGGGATTTTTTACAGTGAGTGGGTAACGGCGAGAAACAGAAATGGTTTCTTAAACAGTGTTTTTTCCCTGTGAAAAATATCTTTTTCTTCAGTTAAGTTAATCCAGTTAATCCTTACAGGGTACGATACATCTTTAAACTTAGGACTCATTATTCACAGACAAATTCGGTGCTAATAGTTCGATGAGTCGATGTCTCGTGAAACGTCGATAATTTTAATTTATCGCGAGAACGGTATTTAAAAGATATTCTCACGATATATGAAAATTTCGAAAAATTTTAACATAAGCTAAATATTGACACACGATGAATATCAAAAAATATGTGGGCACAATAAATATCCACAAACGATAATATCGTAACAAAATCAGTAAAACCCATCCATGAAGAAGAAAACCTTTTCCTTCACTACAGCATTTCACAGCCAAAGGACATGCTTGGCGCTATTCTTGGAGTACGTGATATATCAATAAATTAGTGTACATATTTTACTCCTCTTTTACACATCTATGATTCTTTAAATTTCAACTGAATTTTGAAAAATAATTAATATTGAAAATTTTATTTATGAAAAATCAAATCGCATATTATAATATTTCATCGTTATCAATTACAAATTATCAAATTAAATTTGACGTAAATTAATATTTTCTGACATAATTGGATCAAAATTTTCTCTTTATAAGCAGCTGAATTCAAGATTAATGGGATTAAATCTCTTTCTATATTCCAATGTCTCTGAATAAAAATTACTAATTTTTTCAAAAAAGATTAATTAATATTCTATAAGCATTTGACCCATTAATTTTTCAAATGTAAAGAAACTCAATTTTTTAAAGGTAAAAGTGTGTAAAGTAATCACTTTTTTAATATCCATTTTCGCAAATAAAATAAAGAAAGTTTATTCACAAAAAAATATTTGACAAAATTTTAACATTACCACATATTTAAAATAACAAAACTAATTCAGAATTTATTAATTTAAAAGAATCAAAATAGTAACTTTGAACGAATAAATATTAAACCAAAGTAGCCAACTGCTACAGGACTGCCTACTATTGACTATGACAAAATTATGTTATTCTATACAAATAAAGCCAGTGAAAAAAAAAATCTCTAAACAAAACTTTTTTTAAATTAATTAATAAAATTCATATTAAAGGAATAAAAAATTAAATCATGCAATAATTTACTCTTCCCACATATTAAAAATGACTTATTTTTCATATTATCTATGTCAATAGATGTTATATACTTCATTAGGAAAAACAAAATAGGAAAATCTCAATTTGAATAGGTAATTCCTTCTCTGACAGACAATTTTCATTTAATTAACCTAAGTGCAAAAGTATACAGAAATTGCAGTATAAAAAACTTCTTAATGAATTAATGCTCTCTATTCAAAGCAATTGTCATTTATAATCATTTTAATTATGAAATTTTAAATAAAAAACTCTTCTGGGAGCATTAATAACGAATGATTTCATCAAATAAATCTAGCATTAAATTAAAATTACATTGTGTCCTATTTACTTCGCTGAAAAAAGCATTAAAAGAGAGAGAGGAAGAACTTAAATATGTTTGAGAGCAATTTCTGTCGCTTCAATACTGAATCAACTGATTCCTAATACCACAGAACAAAATTTTTTTATAAAATAAATTAATAAATCTTATAAATAACGAAATACATTTAAGTATTAAGGAACAAAAAATTTAATTAAAAAACACTTCGTGGAGTACAAAAACAAATCATTTAATCAAAAAATATTTACATTAAAATTAAATTACATTTGTCACATTTATTTTGTATTAAAAAGGAGAGAGAAAGAACTGAGACATTTAGAGTAATTTTTGTCACTTCAATGCAGAATCAGTTATTGCCAGACACCACACCATAAAATAATAAATACTTTAAATAACAAAATACATAAGTAATAAACTAAAATAAATTTAATTAAAAAACCTTCTCGTGAAGCACTAAAACAAACAATTTACTCAAATATATCTTACATTAAATTTAAATTTCATTATATCACATTTACTTTACTAAAGAAAAATATTAAAAGTGAGAGAGGGAGAAATAAGATATTTAAAGCAATTTATGTCGTTTCAAAGCAGAATCAAATGATTCCTGATAACTTGGAATAAAATATTTTATAAAATTAACTAATAAATACTATAAATAACAAAATTCAATTAAGTAACTAAATGAACAAAATTTATTTGAAAAAAATAACTCTTCGTGGAGTATAAAAAATTTACTTTGATAAAAGAAGTACTAAGAATAGAGAGAGGAAGAACTGGGATATTTAGAGTAATTTTTGTCACTTCAATTCCAAATCAACTGATTTTTGATACCACAGAACAAAATATTTAATAAAATAAATTATTAAATGCTATAAATAACGAAATCCATTTCAGCAATTAACTTAATTAAATTAAAAAAAAGCTCTTTATGAAGTTCCAAAACATAATATATCATGTTAATTAAATATATCTTACATTAGTTTTAAATTAAATTATATCATATCTTTAGCTAAAGAAAAATATTAAAAGTAAGAGAGGAGGAAATGAGATATTTAGAGTAATTTCTGTTATTTCAAAGAAGAACCAACTGATTACTGATATTTTGAATAAAATATTTACAAGATAAATTAATAAATACTTTAAATAAATGAATTTATTTAAGCAATTAACTAAAAAACATTTTATAGAAAACCCACCGTGGAGTATAAAAAAAATTTAATCAAATATATCTTACATTAAATTTAAATTAAATTATATCGAATTTACTTAGATAAAAAAAAGTATTAAAAGTGAGAGAGGAATAAATGAGACATTTAGAGAAATTTCTGTCGCTTCAATGCAGAATCAACTGATTCCTGATACCACAGAATAAAATATTTTATAAAATAAATTAATAAATACTTTAAATAATGAAATCCATTTGAGGAATAAACTTAACTAAATTAAACTTTAAAAAAATTATTCATTGAGTTCAAAAGCAAATACTTTAATCAAATAAGTCTTACAACAAATATCAATGCAGAATCAACTGATTCCTGATACCACAGAATAAAACATTTTGTAAAATAAATTCATAAAAATTTCAAATAATAAAATCCATTTCAGCAATCAAATTAATTAAATAAAAATTTAAAAAAAACTGTTTGTTAAGTAAAAAATAAATAATTTAATCAACTGAATCTTATATTTAATTAAAATTACATTATATCACATTTACTTCTCAAGAAAAGGAATTAAAAAAGCATGGAAAAGCTGAGATATTCAGAGTAATTTCTGGGGCTTCGTTGCAGAATCAACTGATTCCTGAGACCATAGAATAAAATTTATTAATAAATATTTTTAATAACGAAATCCATATCATCAATAAACTTAATTAAGTTTAACTAAAAACCACTTTTAGGAGAAAAAAAAAACAAATAATTTTATACACTATATTATATTTACTTCGGTAAAAAAAAGTATTACAAAAGAGAAAAGAAATGAGGTATAATTTCGGACGTTTTAATGAAAAATCACCTAATTCCTCATACCACAAAATTAATATTTTATAAAAGGAATTTTAATTAACACTAATTAACAAACTACTTTTAGGGAAATTAGGTTAATTGAATTTAAATAGAGAACTATTCGTGGAGTTAGGCACTTCAAGGCCGAATTAATTTATTCTTGATACCACAGAACAAAATATATTATAAAACAAATAAATAAATACTTTAAATACCGAAATCCATTTCAGCAATAAACTTAATAAAATTTAAAAAAAAAGCTCTTTTCTTTAAAAACAAATTGTTTAATCAAATAAATCTTACATTAAATTAAAATTACACTATGCATTTTTTACTTGCTTTAAAGAAGTATTAATAGGAAGAGTGAGGGAAATGAGATATTTAAAGTAATTTCTGATGTTTCAATACAGAATCCTGATACCACAAATTAAAGTAATTTATAAAACAAATAAATAAATGCTTTACATACCGAAATCCATTTCAGCTATAAAAGTTTTTTCTCAGAGTTCAAAAACAAATTATTTAATCGAATAAATCTTACATTAA